CTATGCACAGCCACATACTAATTTGGGACCTGAAACAAGAAAAAAAATTATTCTTAAGAAGCTATTTTTTATAGCTAGAAATCCTCCTTAGCTTGTTTTTATACATAATCACTTTTATTAGCCTTCAAAACAGACACAGACAAAGAGCATTACCTTTAAAAATGCCTGCAGCTTTTAAGTCTTGGTGAAACAATGATTCTAACTGCCACGTTGTTTCCCAAGAAAATGAGCCAGTGATTCACCCACTCTCATTAATAAATAGCCAGATCCTTATGAAGTTAATTCAACATAGATAAGACAATTTGTATCACGAAAGGGTAGGGTCTCAGACTTAAATGATTTAGTTGTCTAAAAAAGTAAGTCAAACCATTTCTTTAAAAATAAGTATAATTACAAAGGATTATTTTTTCCAAATAAACCCCCAAAATTGACTGGGGGGTCATGACGTATTGCACATTCCACTTGTAATAGAGAAGATTGCAGTAGCAAAAAAAAGTAATATGAAAATAGAAAGTTTGGAGCATTAATCAAAATAATGCTGAAAAAATACTGGAGTCCGTTGAAATTTACCTGAAGATTTGGATTTTTTTGCTGTTGTTTCTTTGCTCTCCTAGCAAAGTTTTATTGATAACATTTGAAAACTTATCCATACTTTAGAAGATATCTATTCCCACTTCTGCTTTGCAACATGGACAGCACTGAACAAAAAGAGCTTGTAATTATGTGCAACAAAGATAAGTATAAGCAAATAATAAACTTCGATGAGAGTGGATTAGGCAGTGAAAAGGAAAATGTACCTGAAAGGCAACAGAACCAGATAGGAAGAAGAGAATTAAAAGATGGGATGTTAAAGCTTATTTTACAGTCTGTTTTAAAAAAGCCCTGCAGTATAGAGAAGCCAAGTTTTCCATAAAAGAAGGCCTAATGTTAATCTTCAGAGTATTTAAATAAGAGTGCAGTTGGACAAGACAGAGTCATCCAACCGTTTCTGGTCCTTATAGGGACGTTTTCCACTACCTCCTCCTCTTCCTTTTCTCTCTGCTCCTAGCTTACTCCACATTTGTACTTTTGTGATTATGATAGAAGAAACTAACCTCCACGAAAGTATTGTTTTCTGCCAGCTTAGTGAGCAGAATTGCCTCACAGAGGGGGCCAGGCAAGTGCCAGAGCCAGTCATGTGCTGAAAGCCAGTGGAGGAGGAGGAGACATGCAGCTAGGAGCAGGGCAAGATAAATTTAGAAGCCTAAATTTAGACTTTTTTTTTTAATTGCCTACCATTTTCGTGCTTGTAGTCACTCTCATTTGTAAGTAATACTTACTCTGATTAAACCATCTACAGCAGAAGTTTGTATGATGGGAACAGAAAGGTAAAAAGAAGAGGCAAAGGATCAGCTACTTTGTTTTTGTAAACAAAGTCACTCAGCTTTAACCAAAGAAATGAAACTGAGGCACTTACGCTTATTTTTAAACTGTTTCTGTTGCTCTCCTGAAAGACTACGGAGTACAATGGTTGACACTGTTATTTGAGATGATGAAGGTTGAAAACTACTAAAAAGAATCTCTGCTTTTAAGTACTTATAAAAATTGTCATTTGCTGCGATCTGGCTAAAGCCACAGATTTACTGTCCCGGATCATTTTATGATCCCTACAAATAACTCCTGTGTTCATAGAACGTACACTTCAAAATAAGCATGAAAGTGGTCCTAAGACTCACTCTGTATGGTAAAATTTCAAAAGGTACCAACATAAACCCTGAAACACATGGCTGGAAGCAACATCTCCATGATAGTTAATAGTGTAAGTTCCATGTACCAATGAGTACTACTTATGTATACACAATACACCTTCAATGCTGACCTTTAAGGAGCTCAGTACATGCTCACTCTTCCATGAATTAAGTGCATGAGCAATACATTCTTGGGGGACTTAGGCAATAAGGATGCTTAAACACACCCTGCACACCAGAATGAACTTGCTAACAAGCACAAAGCTGATGGTTGGGCTTCAGATTCACTTAGATTTAACAGTAATTTTTACCTTGGCTCTGTCATGTTCTAAACCCATTTAATGAATATCCTGTGGATTCGGATTCCTTTAGTCTGATGCAAGTTCAATTTTGGTTTGTTTAGGGGTGTTTAATCTGCTTATTCTTCAAGTTTTTTGAGTTGAACATTTTCTAAGATGTATTTAAGTGGAAATATTAGAGAAAAAAAAAGCAGATACGGCAAAACTCACAGACTTGCAAAAACTCAGTTTGACTTTGTTCTCACTGGCTAAAAGAGATGTGATCTTAACTTGATTAAATTAGTACCAGACAAAACCCTAGTGGAAACAAAGTCTTTTTTTAGGTTTTCTCTGGTAGCACTTAGAGAATACACACTCCTGTATAAACATAACTTACCAGTGGCCATTTATGGAGGATCAGGGATGAGGCATACAGTTTGTAGAGGTAATCTGTAGCAAGAAGAAGTAAAGTAAGGAGTCCAGACTTACATTTGGCTTCCATAGTAAAACTGAAGAAGTAATTTATAAAGTTATGAACCTTGCCAAAATGGACAAAAACATTTATTTGGATGATTATTCTGAAATTTGCTTCTGGTCAATTGCAAACACTTTAGAAGCATTGTCTAGCCTTACGATGATGTCCTAATTTGGGTCTCTCATACCAACCTCTACAGTATTGTAAGTTTTCAGAATTCAAAGGGTGAACTTCTATTTTGAAATCCCCAAATGGGCATTTTTTCCAGCAAATCTTTTTCAAGGTTCTAAAATAAAATGTCATCCTCTGTACTTCCAGCATATGCCTAATAATTTGTTTCCTGTGTCTTTTCAGCTCTCACCTATTTCTTGTTCCTAAAGGCAATTTTATAATTAGCTCACATTTTATGAGTCCATTTTCTGGAGGAATGAATGTTGTCTCCAGTAGATTCAATTTATGAGAGAGCTTAAAAGGCAGTCTAGCAACAACTGAAATCAGCTGCATCTTTTACATTCACACTCAATCCATTTCTTGATTAACGTGCCAGGCGACTGTTCCAAGTACCCGTCTACATGAAAGATGCCATGTTAGTATTACAGAAAACAGAGCACTATCAATATTTGTAACAATAACTAAACACTATTACCATCTAATAAGTGCTTTCTGGGTTCATATTACCTTTATAACGACAATCAATTAGTTTCATATTGTAGAAATTTGAGTTATATTTCGGGGACGTCTTCTGCGTTTTTTTGTCTTCTATCAGTTCTGTTAAGTGGCTTAAAAACAAAGTCATGTATCAGGGCTGTTAAGCTCCCAGAAGAAGGCAGACTGGTTTTGTTTGCTGCTTTGCAACATTGTCAGTAGTTTTAGGCAGTAATAGATTTAGTGTAGATACCTCTACATGTACTTGCACAAGACCTAAACCCGACAAAAGCCAAACAGAGTTGAAACAAAGATAATTAAAGAGCTGAGATGACCAGGCTCCTTCAGGTTATGACCTGCAAATGACAGTTTGTTTTGCTATTGTGCTGTATAGTTTAGAAATTAAGTCTAATGTAGTTCTCTCCCCTATGTGCATGTAAAAAGCCAACTTCTAACAAAAAATACTTTCTTCATTCATTGTCCAAACACAATGTAAGGAATATCTGCAGATACAGAGGAGGGCAGCAGTTGCTTTGTATGCTGATTTTCTCTTGTGACAACGATGGAAAAAAAAAAACAACCCTCCTTGATAAAACAAACAAGTTTTGAGAGAGGAAGTAGTATGGAAATTAGAAATGTAAGCCTCATGGCAATACAACTGGGCTCCACCATCACATTTACTGGCATATTTATGGGTACTAACAGTGCATAGTTTGCCTTCCCCTGTTCTTTTACAGCCTTATAATTTTTACTTGCTGCTAAGGTTTTTACCCTGGTATATCCTATTGAAAAAATCCACCTCTGACTCATCTGTTTGAGACTATAGATAATAATCACGGACCATGGGAGGGATAATTAGATTGTTTTGAGGGAGAGAAAGACTATCATGTCTCCAGAGCCCCATTGTCTTTCCAGACACTGACCTTCTCTTTGCCTAGCAGTGAACAGCAAAAAGGGCAGTAAAAGAACATTAAGAGGGGGCTGTAGCCTGGAGTTGACTGGCTTAGACATGCTAAAACTATTAACCTGGTAGAGGAAGGCAAAGAAGAAAGCTTTCCTTACGCTATCCCAGATAAATCTGCTAAATGGCAACTTGCTTACTCACTCCTATTTTCAGACACCGCAGGGCGCTTTTAATCACGATTTTGAGAGATCCATTAGATGTATTTTACTGGACCCAAATTTTGGGTGTGGCTGTGCCCCTCTTGAGGGCAGGAACACGCCAACGGTAGTATTTGAGGGGTTCCCTTTTTATTTCCATATCTGCTATGGCTGGCACTTACTACCTAGTAGTCGTACCCCAAAGTATCACCAGATTTAAGGGCTTCGACGCTCTTAGGCCCCTCGTTTTTGAGCAACCTCATGTGTGTGTAACTTTGTGCCTTGTCATCCCCCCGGGGTTTCACAGGAGCTCTGTGTCCCCGCGGCCCCCCACCTCCCCACGGGGACCTCGGGCTGCGGGCTGGGCCCACCTCCACCTGAGGCAGCCCCGGGGGCAGGCCCCGGGCCCACGGCTCCTCCAGTGAGCCCGGGGTGGAAAAGGCGCCGTTTTCGCACCGTCAGCGCTAAGCCTCTTCTCCATTTTGTGCCTGAGGAAAAGGGGAAGGATGGTGACCGGCCCGGCGACGGGGGGGAGGAGATCGCCCATTCCGCGCAGGGGCGAGGGCTCGCCGCCCTCCTCCCCCACAGGGCGCAGCGGGGCTGAGGTAAACCCGGCAAGGTCGGGCGGCAGGCCGGGCCCTGCGGCGTCTCCCTCAGGCAGACGAGGCGGGAGGCAGCGGCGTTTCCTGCCGGGGAGGGGAGGGGAGGCGACGGCGGGCCCGGGGCCGTGGGGCGGGGCGGAGCGGAGCGGCCGCCATCACGTGTCGTGTGGCAACGAGCGAGCATCCCCGCGACACGCAACGGCGCGGCCGGCAGGAGCGGAGGTAACGTGGGCGGCCGCGCCGCCGCAGCCGGCGGGGAAGTCCGGCGGGGCCCCCG